AATACCAGAATTTAGTGTATTGACGAGTATATTCGTCATACATTTCAATCAGACTGTTGCGATTTTGGAGAAACACAAAACATATCAAATCAAATTTTAAGATGTTGGAATATTTTGAGGCTATGTCTGTATAATATAAGAAAGTTGAGTGGGAAGTTTGCAGTTGCTTGCACTTACCGATTTATGTAAATCTACTTCAACTATAATTTTGAAATATAGTTATTTAGAAAATTTAAAAAAAATAATTTCTGCTTATAACAATAAAACTTTTACCTTATTTAGCTGCTGAAATGTATTTCCAAATAAAATTTGATTTGCACTTGCCCAGTTGTAGATGCACTTACATAACATTAATGACGCACACTTAAATAAGTGTCACATTTTATTGCTTAAAATAAATAATACCAAATAATATCTTTGTTTATGTCTTAACTTTTTGAATTACTAATTATAAAAATAAGACTAGAACACATCGTATTCTAATGTATGAATACATCGTATTCTAATATTGTCTAGGTAGAACACTATAGATCGACTAGCTAGTGATCTAGAATAAATCTTAACACGTTGCTTCACTTTAGGAACTGACAGTTTACGAATAAGACAAAATCACTATTTAAAAAATAATAAAGCTTAACACGTCGCTTCACTTTAGGAACTGACAGTGTACGAATGTTTATTAGCACTAGCATAACCTTAATAACGCACATTTTAATAAGTATCACATTTTATTACTTAACACTTTGTTAAGTACCATATATTATATTTAATTATGGCTTGATTTTTTAAATTACTGATAATAAAAATAAGACAAAATCACTATTAAAAATAATAATGAAGCTTAACGCGTCGCTTCACTTTAGGAACTGGCAGTGTACGAATTTCTTAGTAACGCCAGCATAACCTTAAAGTCGCACACTTAATTTTATCAAGTGTCACACTAATGGTGCGTCTCTTAGACCAGGGCTTATTAAAGTGGGGGGTCGCTAGACTACTAAAAAGGGGTCGCAAAGATCTGATACTTTTCAATCATTATAAATAAAATTTTGAAATTAGTATTATTAGGCCGACTATTTTCACGATAATGTATGGCTTCTCAAGCTATGCTATTTGGCCAATATTAGATAAAATCAATGATATGAATTTATCAATGCAGGGAGTCTGCGTTAATATGTTTATGTTAAAAAATAAACTTGAGGCCTTTGTTAAAATAATTCTTATATGAAAAAACAGAGCAGAAAGTGGATCGCTCGAAATGTTTCCATTGACGAGTATATAATTAGTAACAATATTTCAAAGATACTCTTATAACAAAAATTATAGTTAATCATTTGAAGAATATGGAAGTTTACATGCATAGGTATTTTCTCAATGATATCGATACACAACAATGGATTTGCAATCCATTTTCAATTGAAATGGAAGAAATTATTTTTCAAACTTAAAAGCACAAGAAGAATTTAAGTGATACTACCTTGCGACCTTGCGACTCAGATTTTTTCAAGTGTCTGTGCATGAATTTTGGATTGAAATCCAATCAGAATATTTCCTACTAGCGGAAATGGCAATAAACAAATTACTGCCATTTTGTGCAACATATTTATGTGAATCAGCCTCTTCTACATTAACTTACATAAAATCAAAATACCGTTCAACTTTAATATACGTTGAAAATTTACTACGATCTGCACTAACTTAAATTGAGCCTAGATTTAATTATTTGTGTAAAAATAAACAATCACATTCATCACATTAATATTGTTTGATATTAATAATAGGTTTTCATTAAAAAAAATGTTACAAAATTTTATTTTTTCTATTGAATATGTAGATATAGTTTTATGTTTTCTTATAAAGAATTTGTTACAAAAGTTTATTTTTTTTATTGAATATATATATATATATATATATATATATATATATAGTTTGTGTCAACGTTTCCAATTATATATAACATGAATGGGTACATATTCTTCAATCCTTATTATATTTACATTGTAAAATAGTGCGATAACGGTTAATATATATTTTATTATTTGGAGGAGGGGGTCGTTTAAAATTTCCTAAGCTTGAAGGGGGTCGCTATATAAAAATGTTTAAGAAGCCCTGCCCTAGACAATATTAGAATACCCCGTGTTCATGGTGCGCCCCATTGCACGAATGCGCATGGCGAATCCTGTGTTCGTGTTCTCAACGTGCACTTTGCGAACAGATTCGCCGTACGGATTCGTGCAATGAAGACGAGCCATAACATTTTGTAAATACCAAATATTATCTCTATTTACGGTTTCTCTTTTTGAATTTCTAATCCCTGGGGTGTATGGCATCGTACCCTAAGGCAGATTGCTGGAACCCTGCCGTAATTAAAAATCTTGGTACAAAATCCAAAAAAATTACACAAAATGAGTACACATTATTAAAATCTCTGTATAATATCTGATAATTTGATGTACATATGTCCCATAAACCTTTTTGGACCGCCAAATGACATTTTTGTAACTTATTTATATTGAGAGTCCATAATCGCTGGAGCTGCCTTCCCAAAAATTTAATCAGTATTTCATCTTGTCACTATAAGTAAAATGTTTTTTGCATTATTGAAATCGGACGCTCCGTTCTCTTAAAAACTGAGTTACTGTTTTTTGGCACTTTTTGCCCTGTATCTTCGGAACAGCTAGACCTGCCTTCGCCAAAAACTAATCACCACGTCTTCTTATCAATACGAATCGAATGTTTTTTGAATTATTGTATTGCCGAGTATATTCGTCAAAATATTCAGAAACCTTTCAAAGGTAAGGAATATAAAAAAAAAAAATTTCGATTTTTTTGCGATTACTATAACTTACCCCACGGGAAGTTAAAAATAAGGCTTAGACGCTATAACAGCTAATGACCAAAATCAAATAATATTAAAGCATATCAGGTTTCTTTACTTTAAAATCTTACTGTTAATGAATGCTTATTATAAATAAATTTTCGAATAAATTTTCGTTTCAGGCGTATGTAGAATATTGAAATCCAAATTTACTCAAATAATAATGTTGGACATAAAAATTAGATAACTATAACTTTTAATTAGGTACAAATCTTAAACTAGCCTTTTAGTCCGCAATGACAAATGTGAACTGCAAATTGTATTGCTAATCTGTTGATATCAAAATGATTTCGATTCAGTTTACTAGTATCTCCATTTTATTAGTGGAAAATAGCTAATTTTATTCTATTTACAAATTTATTAAATAAGTATCAAGTTTGTTAATTTTATTTGTTTCTAAAAAAAGAAGTTAATTTTCAAAGTATTGGCATTGAGACTACAATTTGAATTTTTTTTTCGAATAATATATTGAAATCATGTATACGAATAATATATTGAAATCAATTAGTGCTTCAGGAAGTTACTGCATAGTGTTTTTTTTTTTAATTATTATCCACATCAGTAATTGAGATAAATTATAATTAAATTTTTAATACAGGTACAAAACTAACCAGCTAATTATTTTTAGATAATCCTTCCTCTTCTGTACAAATTTAAACTCTCATTTGAATACAGAGGTAGATATTATTTTAAATTTAAGAAGAGGCAAAATGGGCAAAAAGATGAAATATTTAAAAAAAATCTTGGCAATCATATAATCTATCAGTTTATATTATTTGGAATGTATAACTGTGGGTTTTGCAGAAGTTCTTGCACATTTAAATTTTGAATATAAAATTTAATTGAATTGTTGATAAACATGATCAAATTTACATGGACTGTTTATATATCTAAAATAGAACATAAAAGTAAGATGCCAAATCAAGAACCTACATCTTTTTGCGTAAAAGGTCTGGTAAAAATATTGATACACAAAAATCAATTTTTGTGTATTTGTCGAGAGACCAAACAAAAATTATAAAAGCAAAAGTTCATTTTAATGCAATAAAAATGCTCACTTAGTAGCCAGCCACCAAAAACATTGGTACTCACAAAGAAAAACTGTGGCCAAATACATACCAGGTGAGTCAAAACCCTTTTGATATATAATTTATTATTAAACTGATCTTCAACAATATTTAATTTTTTTTTTTTTTTTTTGAGAAGAGAAAAAAGGTATATTTAAACTTATATATTTTAATAAATTTGAATTTAAACAATAAAACAATGTTTAAATATAATTATCTATCATCGTTCATTAATACTTATAATATATTAGTCAGACATATTTCATTGCAGAAAGCATTGTACTTTATGATAGGAAAATACTACCCAATTCGAGCTATTTCTCCAAAAAACCCGGTACAATGAGTAGGAATATCAGTCAAATATACTAAACCAAAATATGATTTCAATTGGAAATACCCTGAACTGACACTACTGTGTAAAATTGCAATGGTAATCATTCTACAATAAAATTGCTTGATTCTCAAAACTTTCAGCGCTTGTTATATATAAATTTTAAACTATTTGCATGAAATAGGCAAACTTTTAGGCTTATTGGCAGTTCAAGAAAAAGAAAATAAATTTACTGTTAAACTATTGTTGTTTACATATAGTAACTTAAGTTACTTATGTAACTAAACATATTATCATTATTCTTACTACTTAATGTCAGTATTTTTCAAAACTTGAGTTCTTAAACCCTTTCAGCTGTGCTTAGTTTTAATAAAATACCAGATTTCTGGTATGCCAAAATGCTCAGAATCCCATACTATAACTATGTGAAGTAAATTAACAAAATTTTGCGAAAAATATTCATTAAGTTTCAGTATTTCTTTGAATCCTTAAATTCTCCAGAATTGCTAATCTTCAAGTAACATAAACGTTAATTTAAAAATAACAATAATTTTATAGAATGTAAAGTTCCATGTGTGTATTATTTGTTTGATTAAAACAAGTAAATTGAGTATATAAGTGAATTTACATCGTATACTGAGTGGATAACACTAAGAAACAATATTATATAAAAATTGATCATAAAAAATTATCTACATTATCTAATGGTAAAATTCTGCCTTACCTAATACAGAATTTCTCTAATTTACTATTGCAATTTAACCTTAATTTGTTTATCTCTTCTAAATTTTGACAAAATTTTGCCACTTATTCTCATAAAAAATAAAAATATTACCAATAAACATGCATAAACGTCCAACATATAATATTGGATGCAGCACATATCAACAGCCTCTGATCTCCAAAGAGGTGGACTTTCGATGCCTACCTCAGCTACACGTTCTGTCCACCAAGCGGCCAAGTCGATTGGTGATTGAGGTCGGTTTAAGAAATTGGCAGAAACTCGCTTAGCATTTTGTAAATAACTGCAAATGTAACAGTCTGTTAACTATGATTGAAATTACTTTTTATTTATATCGAGCGTCATGAAAGTGATATTTCAATTAAATCTGTTTCAAATTAGGTTAGCGCTTGCAATGACTATTAATATGTCTCAGGAACATATATATGTGGCCTGCATTGCAGTGGGTAAACCATTGATTTAATTTGTGTCAGAATCAATTAATTATTTTCTAGAAATATTTTTATGGCTGAAGAATGTTTGCCAGGAAACATAATGAAGTACTCATAATGTGATCATGGTATTTTGCTAAAATAATTTCTTACCTGGGTTTCAGAACTTCATTCAATGTTTGAGTAATGTGTTCTTCATTAAGATCTTCGTAGTTCAAAATTCGGCCCATGCCACGTGACTCGATGGCCGCTGCATTTAAAAACTGGTCCCCATAGATTGGGGTAGCAATCATCGGAACCCCATGATGTGCTGCTTCTGTTGTTCCTAATAGGCCACTGTGTGACATGAATAGACGTACGTTGGGGTGAGCTAGAAATTGGTAATAATTATAATTTTGGAGCCATGATATGAAATTTATTCATACGCAAAATATAATTATTTTATTACCTGCAAAATATTGAATTAGTAAAATATTTTCTGAAATATTTATATAAATTCTAGAAAAACTAACAAATATTCGAGAAAATAAAATTTAACAAAAAAAGCAATAAAAAGTTCAAGTAACTAAAACCATATAGGTCTATAAATAATAATTGGTATATTATGTAACACTTAAATTACCCCAACACTTTTACAAAACACCAAATTTTTTCAGCTTTTTTTTCAACTCTCCACCTTAAAACCCGGGTATAACCTGAGATACTTGAAAAAATCTATGCTCGAGACAAAGACTGAGATCAAATCATATTGTGTAGACTACGGAAACAATAAAAAATTATGTATTGAACAGTCCGAAGTCACAAAGTGGCTATGGTAGTCAATGAACAACGCTTGAACCTAATCCTTTTTAATTCCCCGCAAAATATCTTTATTAATATGATTAAAATAGAATAAATAGAACTTGTTAGTGTTACTAATGTGTATTAGTTTACATATATGTGTATGTATGGATTTTTGCATGTCTGTATTGTGCATGTATGTATGTATTTAAAGTTTTTAAATATATTTTTTTCTATAACTAATATCAGTGTTAAGTTTATTAGTGTTTTGTCCTGGTTTGATCTATTGAATGGTGACATACATCAAGTGCCGAGAACTATAATTAATAAAGAATGTTTTTCTTATTGTTTACTTATATATAAGTATATAATTAAACTAATATAGAAATAATACAGAAATTTCAGAACAAATTTTTAAAAATTGCCTTAGGAGCACCAAAATATGTCCCAAACTGGCTAATTCATCTCGACACAAACACACCTACCATAAAAGATGTAATAACAAAACCAGCACAAAAATATAGAAACAAGCTCATCAGTCACCCAAATTCACTAGCAAACTCCTTAATAACAGAGAACTATCGATGAAGGTTGAAAAGAAAAGCACCACTGGATTTAAGTGATCAATTTTCCTGATAAAGATTGAAATAACTTAGTCACTATTTATAAGAAATAATTTATAAGTAAATAGTTAAGATTATATCATTATCGATAAAATATTGTTAATATTAAAACGAATGGGAAAACAACTATTGAGTTGTTTTTCCATCATGCCCATTTTGTATACAGTATAATTCCCCAAATTTATTAAATGTCCTTAAGTGGTCAGTTCTAAATGAAATAGAGAATATATATATATATATATATATATATATATATATATATATATATACTCAAATTTATACAAAGCCAAAAAGTGTATTTTTATGTTAAAATGTTTAAAAATGTTAAAAAATTAAAATATTTAAACATATACACCACAGCTTATAATAACACTGGCAACTCGTTTAATAATGGTTTTGTTCACTAATAATAATAATTAATACCCAATAGCCTAACCTAACCTAACCTAACCTATAAATGATTTTGACAGATTGACAGGTCACCGCGCCGATTTCCATAAACTGTGCTTCCCCATTTCAATAAATGTTTTATTTAAATATATATTGTTAATGCCATATTTAAATATTTTCTAACCATCTCTGAACTACGAGGAGTATTTCAAGACTAAAATTGTCTAAATCGATTCACCAGTTCTCGAGTTTTAAGGTAACTAAGATCCAGTAAAATTTATTTATATAGATATAGGTTAGTTTTTGGTTAGCCATTGTTATGTGACAATCACAATGTTGTAATCACAGTGATATTCACTTGTTATTCCTTCTTGTAGTATAAATTATACTCATATTAGTGAAGAGAGTACAGTAAATTTATTCTTGCTTTATAAATATTAGTGTTTGATCAAGTATATAAAAATTTATATTACTTATACTTAAAATAGATGCACATGTAAGTATTATTACATAGATTTACGGATTTTAGTAGTATTGATTTGTTTGTTGTTATTGTTTTAGTATATTGTTTATATTTACAGTAAAGGGCGTCCATTAATCACGTGAGCGAGTTTTTAAGGATTTTTGGAACCTCCCACCCCCTTGGATATATATGTTGATATTCAAAATTACCCCCGCTCCCCCACCAAACATCACGTGTATTTTTAGTTACGTGATAAAACTGATTTTTTTAATTTTTTTTTAATGTTTGAATTTAAAAAAAAATCAGTGTAAAATTAAATACGCGTGATATCTTACAATACCCCTCCCTCCCCTACGTGATATTTCGTGATTTTTGTCAAACCCCCCCTTCCCCTTAAAACCTCACGTGATTAATGGACGCCCCCTAATATATTTATCATTCTAAAGATAATTTCACAGTAGAGATTAATATTGCTAACTTCCTAAATATATTCATATGTAAGTATTATATTATTAGTTATTGTTATTGTTTCAGTATATTGTTTATGGTAATAATCGATTTACAGTAATCACGTAAGCGAGTTTTTAAGGATTTTTGGACCCCCCCTTCGTGATACATGATGATCATAGATAAGGAAATAGATACATGATGATGATATTTAAAATTACCCCCACTCCCCCACCAAACATCACATGTATTTTTAGTTACGTGATAAAACTGAAATTTTTGATTTTTTTTAAATGTTTGAATTTTAAAAAAAAATCAGTGTAAAATTAAATACACGTGATATCTTACCATACCCCTCCCTTCCCCAAGTGATACTTTGTGATTTTTTGTCAAACCCCCCCTTCTCCTAAAAACCTCACGTGATTAAGGGACGCCCCCTAATATATTTATCATTTTAAAGATAACTTCACAGTAGAGATTAATATTGCTAACTTCCTATAAGTTATTTGGTCTATATGGGAAATTGGTAACACCCGATTATTTTAATGATCGTTATATGTTTTGTATCTTATGGGCCAATTCTGCCGTAAAATAGACTAATGTTATGGCAACGTTACGCAACGCTGCTTTTTTCATATAAAATGTTACTAAAAACTGACAAAAAGCTAGGTATTCGTGTGCGATTAGGCGATGAAGTAATTCTTGCATGTGTTATTATCACACATCAGAAAGATGCACTTATACTTATGAAAACATTCTTTTTTACGTTGTACGCTTCCTAGGCTAGGTTTTATATATAAAACACCTGACTGAACGGCAAATACTTAGCTTCTTGATAGTTTTTAGTACCGTTTTCTGTGAAAAATGCAGCGTAACATTGCGTTGCTATAACATTGGTCTATTTTACAGCAGAATTGGCCCAATTCTTTTGTTATCATAATCCATTCAATTGCAATTGCTATTAATTTGGAGATATCTGCCCAGATGGTTAAAGATAATTTAACATAAACAGTAAAGAATAATATATATAATGCTAATTGGCATTTGAGCTTAAGTCCAAACATTTTATATATAGAAAATTGGTATCTCCCGATCCTTTTTAATGATCGTATTTTTTTTTGTATCTTACTTAGTTATCCTAATCCATCAAATTGCAATTGTTATAGATTTGGAGATGTCTTCCCAGAAAGTTTAACCCAGATTTTAAAAATAATTTAACAGTATTAGGGAACAATAATGGCAACTTCGAATAAGTAATTGGTAGCACCCTTTCATTTTAAATGATCATAAACTTTTTTGTATCTTACTTTAGTTCTCCTAATCCATCCAATTGCAATTGTTATAAATATAAAGCTATCAACCCACAAAAATGAAAAAATAAAAAGTATAATAATAATAACTGTAACTACTTCCGCGCGGATGGACTCAACGCAATATCATTATTTGTGCTTATTTTTTTATTTAACGTCTATTAAAAATTACTTTGTAGTTACTTAGTTCAATGTGTTATAATATAATAGCATTTGTTTGTTCTAATATTTTCACGTTGAAGTTATCATTTCAGCTGAATGCCACGGAAAAAAAGTGACATCGGCCGTAGCTCAAGAATCGCAAGACGCAGACGCGACTACAGGCGCGCAGCAAAAATCGTAGTAGAAAATACAGCTCAAGCTCTCAAGTAAGTCGTAATTTAAACAATGGCGCGTAATTTTAACAATTAAAGATATTGGTATATATATATATACACATATATATGATTTAGTAGTTATTTTTGATGTTAAGATATATATGAGTAAGTTCTTATGGGGCGATACATCAAAGAATAAAAGCTTAGAAGCGCTCGGGAAGTGCAAAGTACAGAAGTCATGGCAGAAATTACCTAACTTTACTCACATTTTTGTCAAATAAAATTATCATTTTTCTTTTTATATTTAATACAAAAAAATGTTGACAAGTTAGTTGTATAAATATTACTGCTAATTCTAGTATCGCGTACACATCTTTAGATGTAATTTACTAACGTTAATATCCACTGATGATGACATTAAGTTGAATGTCGAAACGTTTGGAATTAAAGATTAATTTATAAACCTTTGCTTTTTATTCTTTGGTGTATCGCCCCATATACTCGTATATATAATCGGTTGTCAAATATTACATTATATCCTTAAGATATTAGTATTTTCGTGTCATCGGTGGTTCCTATAATATATACACTTCTTCCCAAAAATTTAATCAGTTCTTCATTCCATCAGTACAAGTGAAATGCTTTTTAAATTATCGAAACCAAAAACACTCTTAAAATTATGTAAGCTAACTTATTTACATCAAACAATAAGCGATTTTAAAATTTGTATTTTATTCAGAAAATTGAACTTTTATTTAGGGGTCCGTACCAATTTGCAAAAACATAAAAAAATCAATAGTTTTGAAAAAAAATTTACTTTTCGAGATTTCACCAAAAATAGTTTTAAAAATTTTCAAAAAAAACATTTTTCAGTTTAACATATCTACAATAAGCATTATGTTAAGAATATATAGTTGTTAGAAATATGATGAGGTATGGCCTATGATTTATTCATATACATATATGTTTACATTTAATGTAAACAAATAAGTGTCCAATACCGTTTTTCGCCTAATTTATAAGCTCTTATTTCTTTTTTTTAAATATGAATTATAGAACTACATATTTGTAAATGTTTTAAAAAGTTTTTATTAATCATTGATCATTTTTCATTAATTATTAATTATTAATTGTTGCTTAATTACGGTACGAAAAGTTCCAACAATTTGCCTTAAGGTATGTCATGCATTTCAGCTTTATTTCAATCTTTATTTTTATTTCAATATTTAAAAGTATTTAATATATTGAAGCCAAATTCTTTTTTATTATTCTCTGTTTGAATCATATAAATTATGAACATATTTGAACACATTATTAAAATAAACATAATAAAACGAGGTCAAAATATGAAATAAGATCAAAGATTAAACAAGATGAAAACAAAGCGCATTTGTGAAATATAATACAAAAAATTCTTTTGTGAAATCATGGAATACGATATGTTACAGAAACTTAATATAAGCAGCAACTGAAATCAATGTTATCTGATATTCAATCCAATTAGAGAACAGAAACAAGAAATATTAAACAAGCATATCGTTAGGCAAGGATAAACAATTTATTTGATTACATTTTGATATTGTTTGGAATTCTTTGTTTTTCCTGTTATTAATAGCGTATTGCGATTACAATCGAATATTTTTGGCGACTGAAGATAAAAGTCATATCAACATTTATTTATTATACATCATATTTTCAATCGATTTAATGGAATATTTTTCAGAATATTTTTTAAGTATTGGTCCTTTGGTATTTCCTTAAGGCAAGTTGCGAAAGCTTCCCGATAGTTGTAATACGCGATATTGACCAAACAACCGAAACTGAGATTTAGATATTTAGATCAAATATTTAGATTTCAACTGTTTTTTTCGAAAATAAAGTTTTCGCTCTCTTTAATTATGGTGCACAAACACGTGCTTGTATTTTGTATGTCCTAAAAGCGCCTATTAATTCAAATTTTAATAATGAACTTATATAATTCAACCAAGATTTGTAGAACTTTACTGTTATTTGTTAAATTTCCTTAAAAACGTCGAAAAAGAAACTTAATAAATTATTTGGTGAAATAATAAGCAACTGCTACAAGAAAATACTGGCACGATTCCGTAAATCGTTTTCAAATTCTTGAAATTGCTGCAGTTTCGGAGAAAACATCCATGAAAGGTTTAATGTTAACAAACGTCAAAAAAAATTCTGGTCATTTTTTTAAACTTAGATGAATTTTCGAATTTAAACGACTTGTCGTACGGCTCTAATATTTAAGTATGTTCTGTGACCATAGAACCCACCGCAAAAAAAGTTTCATAAAAATCGTCGAAAACAAATTTTTCAACAGCTAATTACTAGAAGACAGTTCCAAATGTACAATCTTTACCAAAAACTAATCAGTATCATTCCCAACCAACTTCGAAACTCGAACTTCTAACTTGATCTCGAAAGTTTTTGAATTTTTAAAATTGATTCAGGATTGTGGTCTAAAACGTGGACGAAAATTGTTTCAATTTTCTGATATACACAAATACAAGGCTTGGCAAAACTAACAAACTTTAGTCTTTGTCAAGTTACTTCGAATTGCTTTTAATTTTTTGAAAATCGGCTCACATATGCTTTTTCCAAATTTAGTCTCATTCAATTCGGAATGGCTGCTTCAGAAACGTCAAGAAAACATAAAATTAGCAAATCGGATTTTTTGGCGAAAGCTTAAATTTTTCCTTCGGAAAGTTAAAAAAAAATCTAGGCTTTCTTACGTTGCTATAAATATGAATTGTAATAGTACATATTGTTATTGTTACAGTAAGTGGTCAGATCATAAATTACAATTTTTGTGACAATGATATATGCATTTTTTGCTGTTCATTGACAAATTTTATCAATATTACTGTTAATCAAATCTTGTGTTTTATTTATGTGTAGGCATAAATTGTTATGTTATCGTGCTAACTTAGAGTTAATTGATACTAAGTTATGTTTTCTTTTTCATTCATACCAAAGACTAATGTTTCATAATTAATCTTCTCCTATTTTCTGCATTAAATACAATTACTTTGCTTACCTAGAATATCGTTTTGAGGCATCCAGTTCCTAATCATCAAGTTGTCTGTTTTTTCAGGCAATGTTTCATTTTCCCATTTCCAAAGTACTCTTTGTTTAAGTTTTCCAAAAGCTTTTAACAGCGCTTTTCTTTTCTCATCTGGCAAAGTTGAAGCTCTGATCATAGAACCCCAGCTGACATACACCACGCCGTGTTCTGCACCGGATATAAAATCATCCAGATCCTAAATAAATTCTGATGATTTAAATAGGAATTTTAAAGAAAACTTCTTAGAATAATTTGTTATGCTATCATTAGTCATTCATTTACTAAGCTAGTTACTAAGGTCATCATATTTTGATAAATCGGTTTTGTTGGTAAAAGTTGATTTGGAAAAATGTAATCAATCACTTGTAGTTTTCAAGTGCCATTCCAATTATCAATGTATGCTAACTTTATTAAACAACATTTCATTCGATATTTATAATAATTATGAATCAATTCAAATACCTTCGATAATTTCTTTGGTTTTTTAACGTGGATTCCTCCAATTTCAACTATGGCTGGTACATTGGGTCGCACACCGCTTAAAGCATAATGTGTGTTGATCATCAGTAGACTTGTATTCTTTTTCAAATCTATTACTGAAGGCATATCTTGTCCAAATCTTTCTCTCAATAGCTTGTCAGTGGGCCAATCTACTCGAAACCTGTTTGATAGAATTCTTTTTAAATATCGTTTCCAATGAAAATAAAAAATAAATTCACGCACCTATAGAGCGTCTTGAATAATACTGATGCGACGAAGTTTTTCACTCTTTGCCAGAATGTCATTTGATGAGAATTTCCAGTAAACATCATTGGCACGTATGATGTTATTTCGGGATTTGCAAATCTTCCCATCACCTATAATTTCAGGATAAATATGATAATGATATAAGAAGATAAATATATAAAATAAATGGCATAAGTTTCAATTGATATTTGTCCAAATCAAAATCAAAACAATTACCAAAACATTTTCTTAATTACTTTTTACCAGGTAACAAATTTCATGATCTTTACAAAATCAATCAATAAATATTGTTCAAAAATAGTCAATTTATTCATTATTAATCATTCAATAATTTATCATTTGTCAATATTTCTTACCCAAGGCATAGCGTAGCTAGAACTTAGCCCTATAACAGGGGCTTTAAATTGATATGCAATTCCCAAGGTGCAATCAGACGTGAATGTTTCAGTAAATATAACATCATATTTTTCAGATTGGTCAAATATAGATTTCAATTGATCGCTTTTCAATACAGTTTCACATGCTTCAAATGAGTTCTTCGTCAACATGTAAAATTCAACGAGCGGATTTAGTAGGGAACGCCAACCGAATATCTGGAATTGAAAATATTCACCTTTATAGGACTCACACTTGTTTCAATAAACTGCCAAAGTTCAATTTCACATTTTTTACTTCTCAAACAGTATACTTAACAAATTTTCATTGGTTGCCTTGAATCTATTATTAATATTTTACACACAAAAAAAGTTCTCTGATATTCCATTTTAAGTTTTAAAGGATATTTATATTAAGTTGGTTACTCACGTTTAAATCAATAAAGTTGACCCACAACGGCATAGTCCCTTTTAAGCTGATATCTTTATAGTTCTTTCTTCGATTTTCCAGTGGAAAGTGACTTAAAACAGTAACGTTATGACCCTTGTCCGCAAGTCCTTCCAGCAGGGCAGAAAATACATCATGGTGACTTTTTCCAGGATGTGGAAAGAGACCCAAAATATTTAGGCTTGATACACATTGTGCAAACAATATTGTTGACAAGATTAAAATAAATTTAATCGAAAAATAGTACATTCTGATTTTTATCCAAAAACTTAATGAGAATGGATACTCCAAGACGTTTGTATAATCAACTGCAAAATAAAATAAGAAGTTGTTACTATTCTACATCTACTAAGCCAATCTTGTAACAATAACCATGCTTAGAAAAAATTGAGATACAATAAAATTGTCTATTATTAAAGATTATTTGAAGAAGCAAAATGTAGGAAGTACTAGCAAATATTAGTACTTAATTTCGATGACTTGACAAGGAACAGAAATAGATTAACATTGTTATTTAAACACTATGAATGAGCAGTCACGAAATGTTTCTGTCATTGTAAAAATTATATAAGTTGGGCTAGTAGTAGGGTTATATAACAAATATTCTTTGTTCCATTTAATTCTGATCTAACCAATTACGTATTATCCTCCAATTACCAGTCAATTATCATTAGTTCACAATAGTTTGCATTGGATTTGTATATATTTAAACCTATATGAATACATGAATTATTTAATAATCATTTTAAAATAAACACGTTTCGGCTATAGTCCTAGTTTTCATTCAGTGGAACTACAACAATTCTGAATAAAATATTTAAAAAGAATATTTTGGAAAAAATATATGTACTTCTAACAACATATATTTTTGCTTAGTTTACTTTTTTTTAATTTCACTGACTGAAAGCTAGGATAGCTAGGACTTCAGGAAACGCATTGATTTAGATAAATTTTAAACATAATGTATATATATATATATATATATATATATATATATATGTATACTGTGGTGGATTTAAAATAGGGGCTTATTCCTAGGGCGGCAAAATTTGGAAAATGAAATATAATTAAGTAATACTTTTTTATAATATTTTTGTATCTATATATATTATGCATCAAATTAAAACTTCGTGTAATATAATTTTGCAAATGTAAGTGAAAACTATCATGTAAGTGATAAATGTAACTATCAAAATAGATTAATTAATTTATTTCCACGATAATATAAATATTAACATTTGATTTTTTTTATTTTCGGAAATAAATTTATGTGGTTTTTATGAAAATTCAGACCTATTTTCAAATTATAATAAATTTAAAAAAAAATTAGTAATTAAAAAATTATTCGTGCCTTTTTGAAAACAAACTTCAGTTGATTAATGATGGGACGGCAAATTTCAGTGATAGGGCGGCTTTTTCTGAAAAATCTGAAAAATATGTGCTTATTCATAAAAAATATAGATACTTTTGATTAATTTTATCATTTAGTTGTTTGATAAATGACCAAAATCCAAAAAATATGAGAAACGCATTTGTCATCATGAATTTAAACAAATGTAAAGCTATTTTGTGGTAAAAAAAAATCAAAGTTTCTAATAAGAATTGCAAATAATTATTCGGAAACCTATGAAAATATTATGATCGATTCATCTTTTGTTTTCAGTATAAAAGATTAATACGTACATTTTCATGTAGTGATTATTATCGTTTGTACTTATTAACTATCGATTACTGTAACAATAGTTATGTTGGTAATTCTATTTACAAATTCAATTCTGTTAATTTTATGATACATCATTTCTTCACTATTATAGTAACACTAATAACAATGCCATTTACGTGAAATGCAGGTTACTGGCTAATATAAGATAAAATTCAAAATAAAATATTTGAATATTACAGTATTAAGAATATTTTATTTTTATTTTCAATTTTATTCAAAAAATCAACGTCTTTAAGCAATAGGATGAAAATTGAAAATGAAATATTTGAATTAGTATTGACAATATTCTATATTTTTATGTTGAACTTTTTTAAAATAACATTTGCTAAATTCTTTGAAATTTATTTTATATAGAATACATATGTATTCATTATTTCCTATTTTTATGTATTGTTTCATCATGAAAATAAAATTTCCAGTTGTTTTTTAATTTTTTAATTTATATCTGCTAAACATACTTTCTAGTATATGATATACATATACCACAAAATAAAATATTTAAAAAAAATATTAATCAAGAAATATTTGCAATCCTCTTATGTATGTTATTTAAATAAAACTCTTACCTATCAAAACTACAATCTTTCAGTAAAATATTGTAAACACTAAAAATACTCTGTACTGAACACTCAAGCACAATAACTGTTCGAACATCAAAGCACATAACAAAATAGACTTCAATATTTTTCCAATAAATGGTTATTCATTTTGTGACACAAATATATTGGTCTTGAATTCCCAAGCTAAACACCAAAAACTGAAATATCTATATTTCTAGTCATTCTGATAAAACTGCATGAATCTGATTAAAAAAAAAGTATGATAACACGATTCTATTCCGGCTCGCACAACGTGCTCTTTATAACTGAATAACATGACATAACACTAATTGCCTAATTGTAAGACCTTGGCAGTGACTATTAGTTTGTTCATTCTAGTAAGATCTATTAATCCAAGATCAGAACCAATCGTGTATATATATATATATACTAGCTGACCCGGAAAACGTTGTTTTGCCATAAAACATATATCCAGTATAAAATGTTTGGTTTAAAAATGACTAACTGATTGCAAATGTGATGTGCATAAAGTGAAAAGGGCAGCTAATAAAATATATATGAATAGTTGACCCTACAAAGCACGCCACATAAAAAATGTTCCTGAATCATATTATTTGCAAGAGCCAATCTAATCTGATTCTGTTGAAATTGAATTGGCATATTTAAAGTTTCAAGATTTTGATATATTATTACCGCGCTTTTCACTAATTCATTAATTTTTTAATTACGAAGCAAAATCTGATCATTCATTTTTAAATGATATTGTTATGTGCATAGCTGGGCACCGTTAATCAAATAGTTAACTTCGTTAATCGTTAATCCGCTACAAAAAAAGTTAGCTTCGTTAAACGTTAAAGCGTTACATTTCGGAAGAATTAACGCAAGTTAACGTTAATCGTTAATCCGTTAATATATGTAAAATTACATTTTTATATCATTGCGTTAGTGAACTTAAAAAACAAACTTATTGGTTTAGGTTCTGGAAGTTAACAGGTTATGAATAAAACAAAATACTTGTATAATTTAAATGTGCAATTTAACCCCTCGCGCGTTTTATGCACACTTCCGTGTGTATAAGGAAAATAGCGCGACGCGCTTTAATAATTAATATCATAGTCTTCAAGATCATATTAAAATATTACCGCCCTACGACAACTCGTTTAGCTTTAAATATTCGTCAAAGTTTGCAAAAAACGGTATCGTTTTTTTGGCATTTGTCAAAATTAGACCTTTCATCGACGTTTGCTCAAAAATGCCTGAACCGTTTTTAGAAATTTAAAAGCCATTCGATGTATCTCAATGAGCACCATATTTTGTCAGTTTTGTGAGACGATCTGCCGAGCCGTTTCTTTGTAATTTAAAAAAGAGTGTTAAACTTTTCGTCCACTTTTATTCTCATTCTATCGAATCGATTTTAAGAAATAAAAAACTGTTCGCAACATATTAGTTGGGAATAATACTGATTACATTTAGGTGAAAATCTACCGAGCCGTTTTCTTGTAATTAACTGTTGAAAAAAAAATTTAGGCCGATTTTTATGGATTTTTTTTAGTGATATATACTATGGTCTTATAGAACTTACAAAAATATTACGGCCTTACGACAAGTAGTTTAATTTTAAAAAATCATCAAAGTTTGAGAAAATGAGTAGTTTTATTGACGTTTGTTAAAATTAAAATTAGATGATTTACTTTGTATAACGATAGATTATTTGGTCTCAATGAACGTACTAAACCATTAACGTCCTACGAAAACTGGTTTAATTATAAAAATTATTGATTAGTGAAAATTTGCTTTTAGAAAATGCTCCGAGTTAACTTGTTCGTTCGTTTTCAATTATGTGTAATAAATCCTCTCGGAATACTTCTAATCACTCCTAAATTAATTTGTTTATTAAGTCGATTATTTACACATATCGGGAAGTTTATGTAACCTGCCTCAAGGCTAAATACCAATACCAACTAATTTTCTAAATAAAGAGAAATAGTTTTTTCGAAAAATAGGAAACGCGCGTCGGGCATATGGTGCATATTCCCCTTCATGAACATTAACATGTTGAAGTTCTCGTCTGAAAGCGAGGCTCGTTTTGGTGTCAAAATGTCTTTACCCGTGGAAAACAAACGTTCAACTGCAGCGCTTGAGGGTATAGCAGTATTGTATTTAATAAATAGATTTATGAATATCTGTTCCCCGAGGAATGCACCATCGTTGAACGAGTCTTTTGATTTTATATCCAGCCACATTCTAACGAGACTTTGCGCTATATTCTCTAAAGAGTTGGAGGTCTTTGGTTTTTCTATAGACTGAGTGACAGAATTGAAAAAGTCTTCCTCCTCGTCATCATTGTTGTTACTCGCATTGCTCCCTCCGTCACTTAAACTATCTCTGTCCTTCGAATTTTCCGCTGATTCTTGCCGTAAGGCATCTTCTACCTTTTTTTCCATGCATTTTCTTACTGCATCCACTCTACTGCTGTCATACGTTTCCAGCCATATCAACCGGAACTTTGGGTGAAATGCCGCGGCATTCAGGAGTGGTCCAAATTTTGCGGTGCCGTGCGGTAAATAGTAGGCATTGGATTAACGATTAACGGACTTCTGGCATTTTAACGGAAGTTAACGTGTCCGTTAACATTTTTAAAAGTTAACTTAAAAGTTAATCCGTTAATCAAAATGTTAACTTCGTTAATTAACGATTAACGGATTAACGAGTTAATGCCCAGCTATGGTTATGTGGAATGCCCAGCGAATTGACTGAGATTTAAAAAAATGTTAGTGGACAACTCTTGACGAAAATAACTAGTATTTTGAAGTAAAAATTATATTATATTATAATCATAGCTGGGCATTAACTCGTTAATCCGTTAATCGTTAATTAACGAAGTTAACATTTTGATTAACGGATTAACTTTTAAGTTAACTTTTAAAAATGTTAACGGACACGTTAACTTCCGTTAAAATGCGAGAAGTCCGTTAATCGTTAATCCAATGCCTACTATTTACCGCACGGCACAGCTTTAGCCAATGCCTTATTAAACGGCATAGAGAAAAGATTTGGACTACTCCTGAATGATGAACAGTGCCAACTTGCCGCGGCATTTCACCCAAAGTTTCGGTTAATGTGGCTGGAAACGTATGACAGCAGTAGAGAGGATGCAGTAAGAAAATGCAAGGAAAAAAAGGTAGAAGATGCCTTATGGCAAGAAGCAGCGAAAAATTCGAAGGACTGAGATAGTTTAAGTGGCGGAGTGAGCAATGCGAGCAACAACGATGATGACGAGAAGGAAGACTTTTTCAATTCTGTCACTCAGTCTATAGAAAAACCAAAGAGCTATAAACTCTTTAAAGAATAAAGCGCAAATTCTCGTTAAAATGTGGCTGGATATGAAATCAAAAGACTCGTTCAACGATGCTGCATTCCTCGGGGAACAGATATTCATAAATCTATTTATTAAATACAATACTGCTATACCCTCAAGCGCTGCAGTTGAACGTTTGTTTTCCACGGGTAAAGACATTTTGACACCAAAACGAGCCTCGCTTTCAGACGAGAACTTCAACATGTTAATGTTCATGAAGGGGAATATGCACCTTATGCCCGACGCTTAACCCGTCGCGCGTTTCCTATTTTTCGCAAAAACTAGCTGTAAATGGAATTCTGTCTTAAGGCAATTAAGGCATCGTTCCTTAAGGCAAATTGCTGGTACTTTCCGTACCTAAAATTATTATTTTTTTAAAAACGATTAACATTTTTGAAAAAAAATTACTTTGAAAAAATAAGATTTTTGGACAAAACTATTGGACAAAAAATTAATTTTTTTTGAAAAAAAAAATGTTTTCTTTATTTTGTCATATTTTGGAAGATCTGAACTTTTTTTCAAAGCAATTTTACTGCTTTAGGACTGCATAGAGACAAAATATAAAGCGCGTAAGCGCCGCGTCGCTGTCTAAAGGATAAACATTGGTACGGAACCCATAAAAATGTAAATAAAATTTATACTTATTGTTAAAATCTCTATAAAATATCTGATAATTTGATGTGCATATGTCTAATGATCATTTTGACCGCCAAATGGCATTTTTTTTTACTTTTTTCATTAGATCTCCGAAACCGCTAGACCTGTCTTCATGAAAAATTGATCAGTTCTTCATAATTGTCAATACAAGTAAAATGTTTTTTGAATTATTAAAATCGGACGCTCCGTTCTCTTAAAAACTGAGTTACCGTTTTTGGCTCAATTTTGCCCCATATCTTTGGAACGGCTAGACCTGCCTTTGCCAAAAACTAATCAGCACGTCTTCTTATCAATACAAATCGAATGTTTTTTGAATTATTCAAATCGGTTGATCCGTGTTCCCGAAATCGTCGACGAAAATTTGTATCCGAATACACATACATATACACACACATACATCCATTTTTTCTAAGGTATGCCAAAATATTCAGAAACCTTTGAAACGTCGAGAAATGCAAAAATTTTCATTTTCGATTTTTTTGCGATTACTATAACTTGCCCTACGGGAAGTTAAAAAAACTCTTTCCCTTTATTTAGAAAAAAATTCTTGTAAAAACAATATGCAATCATAAAAACGGAAAGTTGACCAATAGCGTTATCACGGTATGTGATAATTGTGCCATTTTCCTTATACACACGGAAGTGTGCATAAAACGCGCGAGGGGTTAAATTACACATTTGAATTATACAAGTATTTTGTTTTATTCATAACCTGTTAACTTCCAGAACCTAAACTAATAAGTTTTTTAAGTTCACTAACGCAACGATATAAAAATGTAATTTTACACATATTAACGGATTAACGATTAACGTTAACTTGCGTTAATTCTTCCGAAATGTAACGCTTTAACGTTTAACGAAGTTAACTTTTTTTGTAGCGGATTAACGATTAACGAAGTTAACTATTTGATTAACGGTGCCCAGCTATGATTATAATATATATATATATATATATATATATATATATATATATATATTAGAGATGGGTAACTCACTCCGGAGTTATCACTCAGATACAACTCCTACCTCGGAGTGAATCCGAGTGGAGTTGTCTCGCCGGATTTTTCATATCCGACTTCCCTAAACTGGTTGTTTTTTCAATGATTGTTGTGATTGAATTTTGAAGGACCAATTGTAAAATACTATAATTTGTAACTAGTAATATTTATTTTATGTTAATAACAAGTTATAGCGGTAGCGGCTGGACCTGCCGTTGCCATAAACTAATCGGCACATCTCCCTATCAATAGGAATGTTATTTGATCCATTCAAATCGGTTGATTCGTGCGCCCGAAACGTGGACGAAGAATTGTATTGTCTGAGGTATGCCAAATGTTCTAAAACTTTCAAAACGTGAAGAAATGTGAAAATTTTCGATTTCGATTTTTGGGCGATTACAATAACCTTACAGGAAGTTAATAAGAGCTGCACAAAACGCTTGAATCTTACTTTGATCGAGGACTGAATTCCAAGATTAATCTTGGATTAATCAATTGATTTCAATCAATATTTACATACGGGAATAATGAAAACACAAAATGCATAAATTGCAATTCCAACACAACGGATGCTCGGTGTCGGTTGTAGCAAATTCAATAAGAAATTGTACAATAAAATTTAATGTCACTCATTAACTATAGGCAAAATATTGCTGCCAGCATCCTGATCCTGTTTTGACCAAAGACATTCAATCACCAGTAACAGATTTTCTACCCTTTCAAAATTAATCAACAAGTAAGCATTTCTCAGAAACCATCATGAAATACTTAAATACGAATAATACAAAATTAATATTGACTAATTGGTATTGGTATTTTTCCTTGAGGCAAGTTATGTTACATGAACTTCCCGATATGTGTAAATAATCGACTTAATCAATAACTAGTGGGGTGTATGGCATCGTGCCTTAAAGCAAATTGCTGGAACTTCCCGTATCGTAACGAAATGATCGAGGAATATTGAATGTTTTTAAATAGATTATTATAAATATTGTAACATTGTCTAATATTTATAAGAATTGTATAAACTGAATTGCAAAGTTGAAATTATTAGTTTAAAGTATATTAGAACTATAGTCAGAATTAAAAATAAAATTTGCATTATTTTCGATATACAAAAAAATTTTTTTCATTTTTTGCACATTTAGCTCTGTATCTTCGAAATGGCTGGGCCCGCTTTTGCCAAAAACTAATAACCACTTCTCCCAATTATTACTAATTGAATGGTTTTTAGATTGTTCTAGAACAGTTTTTGATTTTTTAAAATCGATTCGGTAGTATGAGCTTAAATGTGAATGAAAAGTTTAACACTCTTTTCCAAATTGCAAAGAAAAGGCTCGGCAGATCGTCGCACAAAACTGACAAACTATAGTCCTCATTGAGATACATCAAATGGCTTCTAAATTTCTGAAATTTGTCCAGGCGTTTTTGAGAAAACATCGATCAAAGGACTAATTTTGACAAATGCTGAAAAAATGATACTAATTTTTGCAAACTTTGAAGAATTTTTAAAACTAAACAGCTTGTCGTAGGTGCGTAATATTTTAGTATGATCTATAAGACTAATAATAGAATTATTATTCATAATAGAATTTCAACATTTTTATTTTTTGTCCTTAACTGATTGATGTCAGCACATTTTGATCTTTTGTTTCCATTAAATTGATCACGCTATAGTTTGAGAACCTTTGAAATTTGAATGATTAAAGTTTGCAACTGTTAGTAAGTCATTCGAACTATTGCCAGCGCTCTGTTATTAGCTCTGATATCTTTACAGTTAAATGATAAATTATTCCTAGTAATTAATTCTTAATAATAAGAATCCTTTGTTAATGAATATTTTATTAAACATATTTTTATAATTCTGTTGGTGGAGTGATAACTTTTTTCAATTCAGGCGTTCAAAATGGCCGACCCTACGGATTTCACAAAATTGAGAGTGAGTGTAATTGAATTGATATAAATTCTTCGCATGTGATTTTCTGTGTGTTGTTTAACAATTTTGTCATAATTACTTATTTGCAATAGTGTAGTTCATAATTCTCGCTCTCGAACTAATGAGCTATAACGATTTATAAGGTTTATCCAAATTTATCTTTCTTGCGATGAGAAGATACTTTGATGGAATATTGTGGTGAGTTCCAATTTATGTGATTATTGTATGTATAATTTACTTTATTTGCCCTAAAATGATTCCTTGAATATTATTTGGATATTCATAACCTATTCCCAATGCATAAGAATACAAAAGTCGAAGTGACAGTTCTGAGCATGAAGTCGTAAAACGCGATGTCGATATTTTGTGACAGTTATTTTCTATTGAAACTAGTCAAATGTTGCATTGTAGAATATTTGGGTTTTTGTCTTACAGAACTGTCCTTGCTATTAAATTTTACCTAAGGAAGTAAATTTGCGAAATGACAACACTTTCAAAATTAAGAAAATTCACAAAGCAATTTTGAAGTGACTATTTTGTGTACTTCCTAAATCCAACGCAATCTCTTATTTGATATCTCAAAAATAATATGATACAATATAATCAAGAGAACTGGAATTATAACTTTGTAAACTAAGACGTCATATTTATATATTTATTATTTATGTCACTGTCACGACTGTTTTTTGCTTTTGAGTTATGCCAGCTTATACTAGCCTCTGCGGTGAATTTTATATGACCATAAATCAGTTTATACACCATATATCAAACATGGAGTAGTCATTGATTTGAAGCAACAGAAAATTGAAATATTAAGAATAATGAGCATTACCTATTTTGTTTCATTAAAAATAGTTCCTAAATATTGCTGAATATCAAAGAATATAAAACTAACCAAAAGCTTTGCAAAACGTCATTCTTGACATAATAAGCTTAAACAATAGAAAAACAACATAGCTTGCCGCAGATACAAAACACAAGCGTCAACAAAATGAGTCTCTTGAACAAAACTTGTAGAGATGTGTGAAAAACATCAGAATATTAACCAAATTGCAATAGTAATTGAAACAGTTTTAGCAACTCCGTTTTTTCTAACATCCCATTTGTGAGTTTAGGAAGCATTTGTGGAAATATTAAATGAAAACAATGTCAGTTTTCAGTTATTTGGAGTTACAAACTATTTGATTGAACTGTGGTTCTGATTAAGTGTTATCACACTTGGTTAAATTATTTGAACATTACGACAAACAGTTTATACTGCTTAGAATTTGTCAAAGTAATCGCATGTCCAAGAAAATATAAACAAATCATTTAAATTTGCTTTATTATAACCAGAAGTATTACAGTAAGCCATTGATGAAGATATTATTATACAGCTGAGTATTGCTATTTGAAAATATTGCAATATATGTATATATGTCAGCCTAAGTAACGTGTGTGCGTGTTTGTAAATATATGAATATATAAGTACGTATTTATATATGTAGAATTGGGCATAAATTAATGCCTATATATGTATATACAAATAATCATTAAAATAAGAAATTAAAATATTTTGTAGAGTTTATCATATTCTCTTTTAAAATTGATGTGATTTGATAATAATATACTATTATTGCAATTTTAGGCCAACTGATACATTGAATGGTGTTCAATCTAATTTACCTCCAACTTCCAGTGCAGACTTGAGTGTGATGCATAACTCTTCAATGATGCCTACAGCATCTCACAATATGGTGCAGCAGGCACCAGCACAAATTAGGGCTAACAATTATCAGCAAATGATGTACGGTCGGGATGTTGTACCAATGCCTGTTAATGTGAGTTTCAGTTTATATACGAGGTCTGTTCAAAAAGTACCCGGAATTTTCGTTTTTTCAAAAAAATATTTATTCGTCTACATTAATGTGGTCCCCTTCAAAGTAGTCCCCCCCAGATATAATACACTTATGCCAGCGTTTTTTCCAATTTTCGAAGCACCCTTGATATTCACTTTTTGATATGTCCTTGAGCACTCTCAGCGATTTTCTTCAATCGAGGAAAACCGCCGTCCTTTCATGGGTCTCTTCAACTTTGGGAATAGGAAAAAGTCACACGGAGCCATATCTGGTGAATTTTTGCACTTTGCAACACTTTATTTCATTTTTTACGCAAAATTTAATACAAATTCTTTGACTTTTCAATTCTTCCATTGTAAAAATCGCCGAGCTCAGAAAAACACGTCGAACCTTAGCGACTACCACAGACAAAGTAAACAGTGAATATAGCTGAAAATTTCATCATACTTTAGGGGCATGTATACCAACACAATAAAAAAAAAATTTTGACAATCAGACACTCCAGACCCGCGAAATTTAATTATTAGTAATTCCGGGTACTTTTTGAACACACCTCGTATATATATATATATATATATATATATATATATATATATATATATATTAGGGTGGTCCTTAAAATGGTCATTTTCGAATTTCCTTGCTCCCAGGGACTCAAATGGTTCCAAATTGATAAAAAAACAATTCTCTGAAAGTTTTAGCTCTTAATAATAACGTTTAGATAGAGCGCAATTCAATCAAACTTTGTATGGAAAGAGCATGGAAAAAATTTTGAAAATTTAAAAAAAATGTTTTAGGTATAACTTAGCGATAAATGACTGAGTTTTATTCATTCATTTGTTCACTAAATTACATCTAAAAAACATTTTGAAAATTTTTGAAAAATTTTTCATTCTATTTCCATACAAAACTTTGATTGAATTGCGCTCTATCTAAACATTAATATTAAGAGCTAAAACTTTCAGAGAATTGTTTTTTATCTATTTGGAACTATTTGAGCCCCTGGGAGCAAGGAAATTCGAAAATGACCATTTTAAGGACCACCCTAATATATATATATAAATAAATATATCAGAATTCAGTAGAACCTCGATTAAACGAACCTATTGTTGTTGATAGGCATTCAGATAATCAAAAACCTGGATAATCCAATGTTTGAAGAATAATGTTGTGTATTTATTAAAAATAACAAATTCATACATAAATACCAACAAAAATCAATGTTTACTAAGAAATTAATATTTTCTTATGTATGTACATACATATATATTTTCTTAGATATTATTACATACATAGTATAAATGGTGCAAAAATTCGAATTGTAGGTATGTACATACATATAACTTTGTCGCGGTTGGTAGTCCGGATAATCGCAAATCCGTATAACTGAAGTCCGGATAAACGAGGTTCTACTGTACTACGAATCTCTATTATATATGCATATGTGAGTTTAATTTGAATGCAATCAGTTTCCAATTATATTAGATAGTATTAGATAGTATCAATAAGTACACATAACATGTTTTCGAATGGGCAAACTGACCATCCAGATGGTTTAAATTAGCTAAAAATGGTCTAAGAAAAATTAAAGTTTAAATAAAAACATAAATTACATACATAATTACTTATAAATATTAAACATTTTGGAACTTTATTCTATATAGTTATTTTTACCCTATAGGCAAGAGCAGCTACTGCTGGAACTGTTTATCCCCCTGCAATGTACTACCAAAATATCAATCGTGGTTTTACGAATTCAATCCATGTTCCTGCAGATGTCAGATTCAAACGCTTGCCATTTTATGATATAAAAGCTGAATTATTAAAACCTTCAAGTTTAGTGCCGCAAACACCGCAAAGAATTCAGGAATGTACATTTTCCTTTACACTAACTGCTGAACAAGCTACTAAAATTGCATCAGGCAGAGATGCTAGTAATCCTAGCAAAGTAGATTACCCAACACAGGTTCAAATGAGGTTTTGTTTGTTGGATCCAAGTTGTGAACAAGATGATAACTTTCCTCCAAATGTCGTAGTGAAAATCAATAACAAACTGTGTCAGCTTCCTGTAAGTGTAAAATATTTAATTATTAATTTATTTAGTTTTATATTTTTTTCTTGTTGATATTTGATTCAGATATTTATTCTAGAGTCCTATTCCAACAAACAGACCTAATGTTGAAGCTAAAAGGCCATCTAGACCAGTTAATGTTTCAAATTTGGTGAAACTTAATCCCTATGTTGCAAATGTTGTAAATGTGTCTTGGGTACCTGATTATAATAAGCCTTATTCGATAACTATAAATCTAGTAAAGAGATTGACTTCAAGTGATTTACTACAAAGATTGCAAGAAAAAGGCCTGAAGCCACCGGAGTTTACTCGAGATCTGAGTTAGTATCTATTATTGAGAGTATTTTATTTGCTACTATCTAAATAACTTATTATAAATGATTAATTTGTTATTATTTTGATAATTGAACAAAACAATTCTGGGATATATTAAATGTAGTTCTAGAAAAAATGCTTTCAATTATTTTATTTGTGGAAAGAAAATTAATTGTAATTAAACTGATAAATAATTTATTGCTAATTTTTTTTGTTATAGTTAAACAAAAATTAAATGATGACAGTGATGATATAATGACTACAGTTTTGAATGCATCTTTAACTTGTCCTGTTGGAAAAATTCGTATGGTAACTCCGTGTCGTCCATCAACTTGTGATCATCTTCAGTGTTTTGATGCAAGTTTATTTTTGCAAATGAATGAGAAAAAAGCAACGTGGATTTGTCCGGTTTGCGACAGGCCTGCTTTATATGATAATTTAATGATAGATGGGTGAGATATTTTGTAGTTCAATAATGAATTGACAGTATAAATATTTTTAAAAACTAATATATAAATATAAATTCATTAGCTATTTTCAAGAACTTATACAATCTCCAACATTTATATCAGCTAATGTTAATGAAGTTATATTATTGAAAGATGGATCATGGAGTATAGAAAAAAAAGAGCCAATAGTGCAAAAGAAAACTTCAAAAACTAGTGTAGAAATAATTTGTGATGATGTGGGTAAGTTTGTCAGATATCCTGTATTGATAATATGAAAATTAAATTTCTATTATTCAATTCTTATCTGATTTTTAATGTCTTTTCAAATTTATAGAAATCATATCAGTGGAGGATTTTAAAGGTGATGAACCCACTAGTACTACAACTACGGTACAACCAAATGCTCCTTCTACTACTTCTGAGAAAAAAACAAACGAAACAATTGTGGATCTGACAATAAGTGATTCTGAAGAGGATGCGCCCCCAAAAAAGGATAAAGAGCCTTCTGCAGCTCAGCCAACTTCACAACAACTACCTCCAGCTAGTAGTACTAGCAGCGCAGATCCTGTGGTCTCTAATAGAAGTACAAGATATGGTAAAAATTGTCTCTGAATGATTAATCCTGGCCAGAATGATTATTTTTATAATTCTTTTCCGTGTATAACAAGAGTGGATTATTTTATATTTTAATATCTAGCAAGATTGATATATATTATTTGCTTTTCTAATATACATGTAAAATGAAATACAGTGTAAAAGTTATTTACATTTAAGTAATTATAACCAAATATATATAATTTCAAATTTGATTCTAATATTTTGTACCTGTAGTTTCAATTATTATGTTGTATGTTGATTTAAGAAAAACAAAGAACGTTACTAATTAACCCTTAATTAATGTACTTTTTTTTTTCCTAAAGGTACTAGATTAAACTCTGCCAACCTTACTTCATCAGTAACAAGTTCATTGTCGAGCAGTGGCTATAGCAGTTTTGCTTCAAATCCTGCTCACAGTACATCAGTTGATCGTGATCAAGCAAGTTTGTATCAAGTATATCCTAGTTCTAATACTACTTTGGCACACCAAGGCAGCTATGTGAATACTGTGCCTTTAAATTTAGCAGGATTTGATCCAAGTGTCACGAATAATTAAAGCTTTAAACAGCTATTGTGAATGAAATATTTTTTTATATAAAATTATATTTAAATGTATATTTTCTAAAGATTATTTGTTTCTTTAACTTTGAGTATTGTTTTTTAATGATCATATCGCTTGATGATTGATTCGATAGTTGATTATATATAGTTAAGGTAGAAAATTATTTATTTTAATAAATATCATATATCTATAAATGAGTTTAAATATAAGTTAAAACTATTCAAACTTAATTTTGAATATGCAGAAATTTGCAATTTCTTATCATAAATATGTACACTGAAGTTGCAAATTTGTGCATTTGCAAGCACTGACATAGCATTTATAATTATTATAATAGTTATAATTATCTTTAAGAAATATAGTTTTAACATCTAAGTACTTTATGAGCGTATTTTGTAAATTATGTAAATATACTCAAATTTATAAAAAAAAAAAACAATGTATTATATCTTTTTTTGTATAACTTATTGATTTCATTTTTAAGTAACGATAAAATCATTTCATTAATTGGGGAATGCTACCCCGTGTGGGAGATATATTTACCATTTTGTAGGAAAGTCACACAGATCCATGTTGCGGGAGCCAGGGTATCAAATTCTGATCCCAAATAGATGTGCAATGCCTTAAATATAGGCATGATGACTTGATGAACTGGTTAGCGTGCTTAAATTTAGATTTGCAACTGAAAGCTAATGTTACTTTTGAATAAAGTTTTGCAAAATTTTATACATTGATTAAAAGCTGAAAACACTATAATTCCAATAAAAATAGAATGTGTTAGTAATTTACATTAAATACTTGATTTTTATTACATTTATTATTATTATAGTCATTTTTGCTATGTATGATTTTCATTTGAAAAATCTATTCAAAATGTAAATCAACAACTCATTTTTAATATTTTAACCACTAAAGATCGCTATATTAGATTGGTATATCAAACTTTTCAAGAACACTTAAAGTAACGCAAGGTTTAAATACTAATGTCACAGATAAGGACTAATGTGAAACCGATTTTGTAGAGCAAAATACGTTAAGAATGACAGACGATGTAAAGAACTAACACTATAATGTATTATTCAAATTATTAATTATTATATTATTACATTTTCTATTCAATTTTATTTCAAATAGCCAAAACTGCAAAAGGTTGAGTCGGTTGAAAAATGGTTGAAAAGTACTGACATTTGATATGACATACTTCACAGAGATCTGTCAAACTGTCAGCTGTAATAACGGGCGTTACACTCTTTTTTATCTATGGCGTTCAGAAAAGATAGTTAAAGAATCCTACACTTAGACGTGAGGGCGCTGCGTTTGGCATTCCAATTAATGGCGCAAAATTTGAAATAAAAATTATTGCAATTTAGTAATCGGGTACTTGAAACTAAATTTGGTATTACAATTATATTATGTCATCGCTACTGTCCACATCCACGTGTCTAATTAACTAATTAACCCTTTTGAACGCGGATTTTGTTGTGAGGCCCTGGTAGTAGCTCCCATAGATAAACAAGTATAAGTTGGATGGTAGCTCCATCCAGCAAGAGTAGTTAAATTCAGAACATACACGCATCCACGCATCATTTGATCTTTGTTCTGATCTCGCTCTGACACAATTTAAGCAATCTACCACGCTGTTTTACCTGTCATTACCTTTACGATTTATCATTTTGGGAACACGTCCAAAGTATTTTATTTTATTTATTTTAATTGCAAAAGTTAATATATGTGTTGATATCTGTTATAATTAAGAATTATCGTCAAAATCAAATAATGTCAAGAAAAAAGAATAGTAAAAATATTAAAGAATTAGAAGATGAAATTCCATCTAATGCAGATGTTAAAATAACCTCTAAAACTTCCACGGCTAAATCGAAAAAATCGAAAGGTAAATCAAAAAAAGATGGTTGGGGTGACAGTGATGAAGAAATATCCCATAAAAAGATCACTGAAAAATCAAAACCAGAGGAAGAAGCGTCTGTTGATAAATCAAAAACAAGTGGTAACAAAGCCCCCAATAAATCTAAAAAGAATAAGAAATCCAAAAAAAATGACGATTGGTCTGATGACGAAGCTGAACAAGAGTTTAAGTTGCCATCAGATGATGAGGAACCCGTGATTGCTAAACCAGTACTTAAGAAAAAAGGTAGATTAATTAGCATTGGTTGTTTAAAAAATGCATATTATATGGAAATATTATTTTGCTACTTGTATTATAGGAAAAAATAAGAAAATTGAAGATGATTTATCAGATCCAAAAGAAGATTCTGAAGATTTATCGGACATTGATGAACAATTGCCCACAGATTTGGCAGGTGATAATATTTCAAGTTTAAACACTGTTATTAGCAATATGTTTCTAAATTACTACTGACTCAAGACTTCATCACAATCAAAGACATTACATTAGTTTGACATAGTTTTTCTGGATTATGAGAAATTATGCGTGTATTATGCATTAGCATACACGTAACCCTGTATCACACGGTTCTTACGTTTCAAAAACTAGCGTGTTATGCAAAATCTGTGTTATACAGGATAAAGAACTAGTACAAAAATAGGGGTTACGTTTCCAGAATTTAAAAAAAGCATGCTACATATTAATGTTTCTAAGAAGTAAAATACATTACATGAATCATATCATTTTTTTTGGTCATAACTAACAATTAAGTGCTGCTCAATGCGATTTTTTAGCAAGATATCCTCATCTTCTGAGCAGTTTTCTGTACTACCTTTGCATAAAATATTTGTGATTACTTGTTTTTAGCAAAATGATATTTATATATTTTACACATGCAAATATATCTTTATCAAACTTTTATACTCATTTAATTCAAAGGATCTTTGAAGAAATTATATAGTTTGGAATATCCTAGAATAATAAATCTCAAATTACTTATCTTTTGCACTAGTTTTACCATATTTATTGAGATATATTGTACAGCAATTTAACTAATTTTAGGTTAGATAAAGTTTGATTTTCATAGGTTTTACTATATTTCTTATTTTATTAGGGTTTTGCTCAATTCTCATACCATGTTATAGCAAACCCTTTAAGTGCTTCAAAAAAAACGTGTTATGAGGGGGATGGTCTCAGTTCCTAAACCTTGTTAGAGCGAATCCGTGTTATATTGTATTATGCGGGAGTTACCTGTATTTGCATGGTAATGAGTTGAATGTCCTGAGTAAATGTGCTGAAATATTATACTCTTTTAGCTAATATTAAATATAAAAAATAATAGTCTTATAATTATTAATAATTCATTAATTTTTTTCTATAAATATTGATAGCAAATGATTCATAAGGAGCATTCATAAATATTAAACCTGTTTTCAAGTTCAATTCCTATCAGTGACTTTTATAATCTCAACTTTTTTTTATGTTGATTTTGATGTTGAGATATGTGTAAAAAATCTTCAAGTTACATCAAATAAAAATCAAAGAATCCTAAAAAAATGTATTGCCACACATTTCAACATATAACTTTTTTTATGCTTGGTGAATCTATAATTTGAAGAAAAAAATGAATAGTATATGACTAACGTATAATTATATGCTTATACTCAAATTAGAAAAACCGAATGAAGCAGAGACTTGCATAAACAAACCTGAGGGTGAAGTCAAGTCCAGCAAAAACACTGTAGAACATAATGAAAAACAAGAAAAAACAATGAGCAAGGTTGATGATGCTGGAGATATATCACAGCAGGTAATACATATGAAAAATTTATATAGTAAAAATCATCTAGTGGTATCCAAACTTTGAGGCACCCCCTCAGGGGCGTGCAAGGTTATTTTCGAAAATAAACAAAAAAATATGAAATGATATAAAAAATGAATGATAAAATTAAAGTTTGTATATAATATTGCACATTAATTTGTAGTCTGGTCATTAAATTATAATACCAGTTGAGTTTTTATGAAATTAAGTTTGTTAAAAAAAAAAAGAGGGTGCAACTACTTTTTTTGAAGAACAGTGCGGTATGAAAAGGTGGAATCCACTAGTGTCTTAATGTTGTGCAACAAAATGTAATATTAGCATTAATTGATTGTTGTGCTAAACATTTTAGTAATTGAACTAATATGCTTTTTATAAGTTTAATATAAGCTCGACTAGTTCTGCTCTTATTTATGAAAATTGAATGATAAGTAATACATTTAGAATTCCATTATTCAATCTAATATATCTTTTATCCTTATGAATGAGTCACAATGCTCAAAACTTTTATGCTAAAATGTATGTAAATCATTTTAATAATATAATAAAGAATAGAATACATTTAGATGAAAAAACCAAAACAATTTTAAGTGTTAAACCTCAATCGTTGCTATTTATTTAATTTTCATTAAAAATTTCAGTTTTCAAATATTTTATGAAATTATAATGAAAACTAACCTATTCATAACTATTTTATGCTTGATATAACATATTTCTCTATATTTTGAATCAACCTGGCTTAATAAGTATTTTTTATGCATGTTTTTGTTTGCATATATATTTGTATTCTTTTCAGATTTCTGAGCTCACAATGTCTGATACAAAAGTGAATAAACTGTCTGATAATGAAGAAAATGCAAACGACGAGACAAGTTCTTCTAAAAAACTTACCCACAAAGAAAAAAAGAAGTTAAAAAAGAAACAGGAATATGAAAAGCAAATGGAATCTCTCACAAAGAAGGGTGGTCAAGGCCATAGTACCTTAGATAGCAACTTTACTGTTTCACAGGTAACTTTTTTTTGTTATTCTGTCATAATAGTATTCAAATATATTATGTTTCAAGTTTGTGTTGAATATTCTTTTATACATTTTGGCTATAAGTATATTTATAGCAGGGTATTTGAATTTTGTGGAAAAAAATATTCATATACTTATGTGGAAAGTATTATTGTACGAACTCAATATCATTTTGAATGCATTTATTTATATAGTAATTAAAGTAAAAAAGAATTTGACAACTTTGCGCACTGAATTTTTTAATTCAATGCAGCAATTCTGATGCAGCTTCGAGACCATCTTTATTAATGAGCAATGGTTTTCTGAGGGTTTCTACAAAAAGTTGGAAAATATATATATTTGTTATTCTTCTTGACATAGGTAGAGAAATCGGTTGGTCAAAAACTTGCAATGGAAAATGCTGTAGATATTAAAATTGAAAATTTCTCAATATCAGCAAAAGGAAATGATTTGTTTGTTAATGCCAACTTATTGATTGCAAATGGTAGAAGATATGGTCTAGTTGGTCCTAATGGGTGAGTTTCTATAATTTGATATTAAACTTTTGATTCTAGAATTATGTATATTATTATTTTGTGCAAATTCTTATGCAAAATATAGTGGTACCTCATCATAAAAGTTAATTCATTACGTAACCAGTTTCGAATCTTGTAACTCATAATACAATTAAAGCCATTAATTTGTTAATTAAGTTTTCTTAATATTGAAATTAAGTTTTTGTTGATTAATCTATTTATTGTTTGTTCTATCAATTATGCTACTTCAGAAATTAGTTAGACATGTTTTGTTAACTCTCATGCTTAAACTGTTTTTATCCACAAACTTTAAGAACTCAGAAACCTGTTTATAAATTATTGTAAGGCCTTTAGTTGAAGTTACACCCTTTTTGTGCTTAAACACAGTGTATATCTATGGTGAATTATGCTTTAATTTAAGAGATAAGGCCTTTCTTAGATTCTTGGTTATAAAAGTACATAATATTTTGTAAATGTATAAAAGCAAAAAACGCGAACTCAACATATATAACTGTATAATCACTATTAATATATACTTAAAATTTTAAATGTTAAATTTATCCTGAATATAATTGGGTTAATTGTTACTACACACTTAATATTAATATATAGTTA